TCCATGGATGCTATCCAACCAATTTGGCACTCCCAAATACTAGAATTGCAGCATTTAAAGGGGTGTGAAAAACTTCAACATTGAGAGCCCGTTTGGAGAACTCTGTTTTCGGCTTATCAGGCTTATCAGCCAGCTTTTTCACCAAACACGTAACTTTTACTTTCGCGCGCTGAATTGTGTAATAAGCCGAAAAAGTAAGGTTGGAGTAACTTTTCTGGCTGTATTGGCTGAAGTTACTGTAGAGGACCATTTTAGCTATTTTTACATATAATTTTTTCTTTAATTTATTAATAAAATATATTTTTAAAATATTTTTTTCTTAAATCAGCAGAATCAGCCAAAACAGCCACTCCAGCCAGAATATCATAAATTTCAGCAGAATCAGCCAAAACAGCCGATTTTGGTGCTACCAAACGGGCTCTGAGTTTTCATGCATGGGGTTGTGCAGTGACGGAGTCAGAGGTTTGTTCAAGGAGAGGAGTGTACCAAAGACTAAAAATTTTAAAGTGCTTGTTCAAAATATAATACAAACAACAACGTAATAAATTAGCAAAAAATTATACTACGTGGTTCATTACATACTACTTGATTCATTTTTACAGCCTGAGCAAAATCACTCCTACGAGTTTTCATATTTTGAAAATGCTGCATAATAGCTTCATTATCAATTGCTTGAAAATGTCTCTTTTGATGTGCCAACTAAGCAATCCTCAAAAAATCGTTGGAGTCCAAGAGGTTGCCCATGTGCCTCTTTCTTAACTAAACATTACATTTTTCATTTGATCAATTATTTTCTCTTTTATTTATATTTCATTTTTGTCTTAATTTTTCTTAATACCATTTATTTTATTTTATTTTAACACTTAATCTAAATTAATCTTAAGTAGTACTTATTGTTATTAAAAAAAAAAGAAGCGGAGGTATGAAATATATTAGAAGTAGTACTAGTAAAAAACTTGACTGAAGTGGGGTGCGCGCTTGCCCCTCCATGCCTCCCCTCAGCTCCTCCAGTGGGGTTGGGGATAGCCTTATACAGAGGTAATCGATAATAATTGCTATCTCCGTCCCACTAAGAATGAGACAATTCGGTTTACGATGCTTGATCGACAATAAAGCAAATCGATCTCTGTTTACACTCAAATTATTTTTAGAAAGAAAAAATTTACATAATAAGAAACGACTCATGTGTTAAAAGATTTACAAAATTGCAAATAACCAAAATCTAATTGAATAAAAATTTGATATATAAAGCAAGAGATCAAGAGTGATTCAATAAAAAACTATTCCTAGTTTTTTTATAATGAAGTAGTCATGTTCACATCAATGTAAATATATTTAGATTTTGTGAAGTGATAAAATAACACTATCGTAGTCCGTACTATGTCTTGACCATTGTCCATTGAGGGGGCGGCCCCTTTGCACAAGTGATTCCAAAATCCGTGGACGTAGCTCAACTGGATGGGGCTATGAAGCACGGATACTTCCCTAGGGTAGCATATCGGCGTATCTGATACGTTCCCGTATCCGATACTCTAGGATACCCGTACCGTACGTTCCCGGGCCGTATCTGCAATTTTTAAAAGTTTCCATTTTTTTTTTTTTTGTAATTTTTTTAAAGTTTCCGATACTCGTATCCTGACGGATACCTGTATCAACTTTTTTTAAAAAACAAATCCCAAAATTTACTTAATAAAATTCTAAAAAAAAAAATGAAAATCTAAAACTACATTTTACTTGGTAATCAAATAATGGGCCTATATGGCTATATCCGAATTAAGTCATTAACTCATACTCCGAATTGGGTACTTGCACTTTTAATTTCAAGGTTGTAGTTGTTAGACTTATTTCTCATTTTAAATTAATGACTTATTGAGTACATTTATATTTCGAGATACACTAGTGTATATGAGAAATATTCTGAATTTATTACTAAGTATCTTGAAAAAGGAAAATGCTTCAATGCAATGAATGAGTAGACATCATAGGATATTAGATGTATATATATGTATATATATATATATTCAAAAAAATCTATTTTTAATATTTATAAATAGACCCCTATAACTGTTAATATTTGTAAATACACCCTCATAACTTTTAATATTTATAAATATGGCCCTGTATCCGTATCCTACTTTTTTTGGTTTTGACGTATCCTCGTACCCGTTTCCGCGTTTCCGCGTTTCCGCGTACCGGTATCGGTGCTACATAGGGCAGGGGTGGATTTAGGGGGGGCGCGGGGAGGGGGGGCGCGGGGAGGGGGCGACCGCCCCCCTTGGAATTTCAAAATTTTCGATCTACCATATATGTAATATTTTCATAAAACTTTCATAATTTAATTAGATTCGCCCCCTTAACTTTTAATTTTCAAAATTAATATATAGTGTTACATAATGTAATACTTAATTGAAGATTTAAAAGAAGGAACATCTTAAATAATTACATAACTTAAACAAATAAACAATAGAATAACTCATTGTTAAAGATTTAGGATACTTATTATATAAGATTTCCTAGTTTTGTAATGTTTAATTATCTTTATTAGATAACAAGTACTTGATTTTGTAAAATATATATATAAAAGAATATTAAATATCAGACACACTAATTACACAATTTTTAGATCACGTGAAATGAATCCAAAATATAAATGTTTATTGACATTAAATTACATAATTCATTTACTTCTTGCTTTCTAAAAATAATTTATTGCATAGACAATAAACTTTAAATTATTATAGCATTAATACAAATATTAAAATATAATATGCACCATATATGTGTGTGTATGTGGTGCATATTATTCTAAAAATAATAATATCATACATACTACTATTGTAATATTAAGAAAACTTCTCATGAGTCATGACTCACGAACACCATCCTTGGTGGCCGGACAAAAATTACAATTCAATAATAACCGATTCATGAGGTTAAACAATGTAGAAGTTATTAAAAATGTATTGGTTGATGTCTTTGTCATCGTCTAATTTAAACTTAGAATGTACTACTTAATAGATTTAAATGTCGTTGGGGATGTGTACGTATTAATGTCATTTTTTGAATAAAATTAGCCGCATAGCCCTACAGTAGCGGAAAAAAATCGCCCCACTACACTAGGGAAAAAAATTCGCCCCACTACACTAACGAAATTTTTTTCACCCCCTACACTACCGAAAATTTCGCCCCCCTTGAATAGAAATCCTGGATCCGTCCCTGTGGACAACTGGTGGTGAGGGAGTGCCACAATGGTTAGTTTCCGAGTTCAAATCCCGACAACTGCAATGAGAGGTTACTATACTAAAAATGCATAAGGACTCTGCAAGTATCGGGGACAGAGTCCCACTCTCGAGTTCTATTTTGTTCACCCCCTTCATGGAGGGTGAACATCACCCCCTCCCTCCAACACATGACACTTGGCAAGAATTTTAAATTTTGCAATTGTAATGCCAAGTGTCATGTGTTGGAGGGAGGGGGTGATGTTCACCCTCCATGAAGGGGTGAACAAAATAGAACTCTCCCACTCTCTATCCGTCATAAACCCTCCCCATCCATGAATTTCCTAATTTAAACCAAAACACCACACCATACAAAGTTCATTTCAAGATTGATGTAACTCTCATTATTATTATTCCCAATAACACCTGCAATTCGAAGATTAGACTATCTCTAGTGGTGGAGTTTTAAGAGTCTAAAATGTCTAAAATGGAAATTTAGACTCCTAAATCTATACATGGGTGGTTGGAAAGAGGTTATATGGGGGCTTATAAATGGAAAGGTGGAGGGAGAGAGTCTACATATAGCCGATTTGATCCACTCCCGCTAAAACAAAAGCGGAGCAAAGTAGGGTGAAGATTGTATCAAAAGTGTGGGTCCTCAAACAAAAACAAAAAAATCACCTATTCTTTTAAAGTGTTATAACTTTTTTATTTGGTCTCCAAATTTTTCAAAAACTATATCAAAATTCATGAATTTTTAGGAGCTTTCATATGACACCAATATTACATATATAAAGTGAAAAAAGAATTTCAGGTTTTAACTGTTGCAGTTTTCTTGAGCACAAAAAAACACGAAAACACAAATTTTTAATTCATGAAGCGTGCATAATAAATAACTGAATATTACATCATCTCATTTTATAGAAGCGGGAAAACGTTACAAAAAAACTAATGAGGATGCTTAAATGGAATTCGACTTTAATGACAATACTCATAAAATTTTCACTCATGATTTAATTGAACGTTTAGAAGAGAATTTGATAATAATCGAACATTACTTAAACTAAGTTCATTTTTTGTTACCGAAAAACGTTTAAAAAAATTAATGAAATTTATATTTTTTTACATCGAAATGTGTATTTTTTTATTTTATAATTATTTTGAGAAAAAAATTAAAAGAAAATATTACTTATAATACTTTAATTAATGATCTACTAATTTGATATGTAAAAAATATATCAAGTGTATTTTATTGACGGTACTAGAATGTAAAGACAATCATTATTGACGGAGTCTAAACACTGTTTTCATATCGATGGAATCCATATTTTAGCTTTTTAGACTCTTACCACTCCAAATTAGGGCTGGGACTTTGGAACCAAGAACCGGAGAACCGAACCGGACTGAACCGTTATGACCCGGTTCGGTTCGGTTCCAAAATTTATTAGTTATTTGTTAATGGTTCGGTTCCTACTTTTTATTAACGGTTCGGTTATCGGTTCCTGTAAAAAATATGTACGTGGAACCGTTAAAGAACCGTTATATATAATAATTAAAATTATATATATATTTCTTATTAGTATATGTATTTTAATGTATATTTACTTATCTTTTTTCATATTACATTCACTATTTTAGTTTAGTTATTTAACTATTTGAAATTATTTTTCATTTAACTGGTTTTATTGGGCTTCTTTACCGAATATCTTGTTTTGTTTTTGTTTTCTAAAATTTGCAGTTTGTTATGTATTTATCTTTTAAACTCAACTTTTGAGGTTTGAAATGAAATTCAACATATTTGTATTGTAATTTCAAGCGTTGAATGTATTTTTGACACAAATTTAACCGTGATTTGTAAGATTTTTTTTAAATACTAGGAACCGTTAAATGACGAGAACCGAACCGTTAAAAACGGTTCGGTTCCTTATCGGTTCTACAAAATAATTTATAAGAACCGAACCGTTAGTAAAATTTCATATTTTCAAACGGTTCCACATATTTCACCCAGGAACCGAACCGATCCCAGGCCTACTCCAAATGGTCTTATGGAGAACAAATATGTAAAGGAGTTACAATTTTGCGAACTTCTTGAGATTCTGGGCAGCATCTATGGCGGCGTGATGAGGAACAGACATTACCAACAGAGTCACCCTTGAAGAAGATATCATAATTCGTCCTTTATCTTCTTCCACTTCTTCTTCTTCTCCATCCGCCTTCCAGAGCCTCACTTCCCAGACCTGAAGGGTTTTTCCGACGTTGACCGGCGTTGCCTCGGCGAAGACGAGGTCGCCCATTTGCGCACTCTTCAGATGGTTGATGCTGAGCTGGACTCCGGCAACTCTCCGGAACCCTGACGCCATGTGGGCACCCATGCTGGCCAGAGCCTCCGCTATCAATGCCGATACCCCGCCGTGCAATACCTTGAACGGCTGGCAGCACTTCTCCGTCACCGGAAGCCGGCCGGTCACCCTTTGCGGCGTTATCTCCCCGATCTCGAATCCCACTGCGTGTAGCGTTGGATCCAGAATCTCTGTCTTTGTTCTTGATGGATCCATCTCTAGTTTAATGATGTTTAAGGAATCGAAATTGTTTCTCAGATGAAAAAGATAAGTCATTTTCTCAGATAAATGCCCTGCATTTTTTTTATGCAATTGGGGATGGTTAGGTGGAGTTACTACAGTACGGTATTTGGAAGTATAAATAAAGATAAAAATGACGGTAAGATGAGAGCTACGCATTTCAACTACTCCCCCCATCCCTTGTTATTGTTTGGTTTTACTTTTTTTCCCGAGAAATTACATTAAAATTGTCTCGTATCATATAGAGTATTTGATAAAGCTTGTATGATTCTAAATCATTCTTACTTTATCAATTAATATCAACTACACAAACCCATTTTTCTTAGTATTGGTTTACCCTCTTCCATCCCAATATAAAAGGGATGGATGTAGTACTATTATGTCCTTTCATTGGTTTGTCAAGTCTTATTTTAGTTTGGTACAATTATTAATAAAGTAATTGAAAAAATAAAAATTATTGTTAAGATTCGAGTAAATCAAAGTGAAATACTCCATCTGTCCCCCAATTAAGTTCCCACTTTCCTTTTTGGGTAGTCCCTAAATTAAGTTAACACTTCAATACTTTTCTTATTTAGTAAATAATGTACATCAAAACAGTGTCAAACAGTGTTTAAACAGTGCAAAACAATGCACTCCACAATAAAGTCAAATTTATTTTCTTAATATATGTTAAGTCAAACCAAGAACTTAATTGGAGGATGGAGGGAGTATTATATCACAATATTTTTTTTTCTAAAGAGAAAACGTGTCATTTACTATGGAACAATCTAAAAGGGAAAATAGGATAGATAAAATGAGACACAAATGAGACAGAGGAAGCATGTGATATGGAGTATAATAATTTCAAGTATATATTCATTTTCAATATCCAATAACTGCACGACACCTTTATATATATTCAAAAATGAAATGTCAACTTATTGTTTATCAAGTGCTCGAAGATATTGATTGGTCGACATTTTGGATTTATTCTTCACTCTTTTATTGGTTTACTCATCATCTTCTCGAGAAACTATGTATTACTCCGTATAATTTATAGGTATTATAGTTTTTGGTAATAATTAGTCACATCAATTTGTTATACAAGTATCAAGTACAACTACGTCAATCAGTTTTTTGCTCAGACAGCTACAATGTTCTAAAAGGCGCTAGGCGCTAGTCGGGCACCAGCCCAGCGCCTAGCGCCTAGCGCCTAGGCGACTAGGAGGGCCGATGGCGACTAGGCGGGACTAGTCAGAGACAAAAATATTGCAGTTTCATCTATATTTTTGCATAAATATGATACGTAAAATTGTATTTTTTGTGTCTATAAAATACATATATACATATATATGAACAAACATGAATGATAGAATTATCACATTTAATCATACATATATATGATAACTAATCATTTAACTTCATTATGTTATAAATATAAATAATGATGAAATTTAGGTATATATATACGGAGTATATAGAAACATATATAGTTTTGTCTTAATTTATAACTTTATTTCCTTATATCCATGGTTAAAGCTAAAATACATATATTGCTATGAAAATTCAAATTAAAAAGTAATGTTCGGCGAATCTAGATGGCCTAGACGGGCAAGTAGGCCCCATAGGTGGCCGACTAATTCACCTAGATGGTAAATCAATTAGTCGGAGAGTCTAGACGAAAATCGAGGCGCCCGGCCACTGCATAGCGCTTAGGCGGGGACTAGTCGGACGCCTAGAACGACTTTTAGAACAAAGGACGGCTATAATCTGTATCTTTTAATTAAAAGTTAATAGTTACTAAAAACTTACAAAAGTATCTTTTTGGATAATTGTGTCACACATACCCTAATTAATGATGAAATGATACAAAAGGTACGAGTGCAGCTGAATCCGCATGCTGCTATTCAGCTTCTGCTGGGATCGGTGAGATCACACACCAACATTTTTCTGGGGTCGCCAATTTTCGTGAGCTGTTGGATCGGGACTGGATGATTACGGTAGAACACATTTATCGAGATGACAACCAGGCTGTTGACTATTTAGCTGGTCTTGGTCATAGTTTACCGCTTCGTATACATAATATTTCTAGGAATGATTCTACTTTGTCATTTCATTAGTTGTATGACTTTTTGGGGTTGCGCCTGAGCTTACCAAAAAACAGATCATTTGTTTGTTAACAACTCTTAAAAAATAGCTTCGAAACTTGTTTATTTTTGTTTTTTTTTTTGTGGAGACTTGCGGCACTAGAGGAACGAGCTGCAAGCGGCGTCGGAGTTCATACTCGGGACTGTTCGCCTGTGGCAATTGGGTAGGTCCGCACCTAGGCTGGGAGTTCGGCCCGGTTCTTCGAGATCTGTAAGTCCAAATCTGTTTTCATTTCTTCTTCCTTTTATGCATCTTCACAAATGGAAACATAAATAAACAAAAAACAACAATATAAACAACAATAATTGAAAAGTCATCAACAAGGAAACAAAAAAAATGCAGTGAAGTGTTTTCATCAGGAAAATTGGTTCCAGTGAGGCAGTGATGATGGAGCCTTGGGGATTTGCACAAGAAGCTCTTTCAAAAATGCAAAGGAACTTAATTGAAGTGAAGTGACCTAAACTATGTAGCTAAACTCACATTCTTGAATTTTGGTTAATGGGGTTAGATTGTTTTTTGGATAAAATGTAAATATATATTAACACCCAGAAAACTATACATCACATATCCTAGATCTCCTAAAACCTCCCCCACCCCCACATAATATGAGGGTGAAAGGAGGTTTTTATTCGATCTAATCTATGCCAAAATAACCAAGTATTATACTTGGCCCATCAAGAGGTTCAAACATACATCGGTGCTGCACATGCACACACACAGTTCAGAGGCTAAAATTCTAAACAAAGTACAAAGGTGTTGCAAGATGCACACACCCTAAAATCCAAGACCATGCTTCATGCCGCAGCATCCATGATGTCCATACTGCGGTGTCCTGGGTGCCCAAGCTGCGGCATCCAACCATGCCTCGACACACCAAACAATCATGTCGCAGTCTGTCCAAAACCGCGGCATCCATAATATCCATGTTGTGGCCTTCTATTCAAAATGTAATCAAGTCATGCGGGTATAAATTGAAAAGTATTGTATACACCACATGCTTGACTTTTGCGATGATCTCCTCTTCCTTGACGTCCTCTTCATCAAATCGATTGGCATTCCTAGCGTGCCAAAGGTAGTAAACCGTGGCGCGAAAAGCAATCCGGACAGCCTTCCCTTTGATCTTTGATCCTTTGTGGTCCTTCAGGATCCATTTGATCGAGCTACTAAGCGTGGTCATCTCTCGTGTCATGCCCAATCATTGCTTTATTTTCCCCCAGACCCTACTGTTGGTCCCGTATATACTGGGAACAGTCTAGAGGGGGGGGTGAATAGACTGTTCAGGTTTTTCAAACTTTTCTTTAAGTCAATCTGACTTATCAGAGAGGGTCAGCTATTGGTGACAGAGAAGGTCGGGTTCTGATAACAGAACTGGACCTGGCAGCGGATAAGAGTTCTGTACGGGTAGCCTCAAGAAACACTAAGGCTTATGCCTTTCTGATAACTCTTAGAACAAGATCTGCTGAGCACAGAATCCAAGTTCTTGGGAGTTAAGCAGTTATATTCTTAAGTGCAGAAATAAAATGCGTAAAGTAAATGATACCGGAGTTTTTATAGTGGTTCATAGAACTCAAGAAGCACTCCACGTCTTCTTCAAGCCTAGTTGTCACCCGGGATGCTCTTCCTGGCTTCCTGATGACTGGTCTCGTTTCATTGAGTCTCCTTGAAGTATCACCACTTCACTACTCCAGCTACTTTAAGACGTCCTTCTTTGCAGAAGATGTTCTGTAGAAAAACAGAGTTTTTCTCCAACTTGCTTCGTCACAAAAGATGTGTAGATAAAGTGCTTGAAGTTGTTGAAGAACTGGAGGAACTTGCTCTTGTTGGAGTATAAGGATATGTGAGTTTATAATCTTTCCAACGTAGGCTTTTCTTGTTGATGAAGATGGAATTTGAATCTCAAGAAAGCTTTGTGAATGTCGTAGTGAGAGCAAAAGTTCTTACTTCGAAGTTCTTCAAGGTGTATCTTTTATACTGGAGATGTCTTCCCGTTGGAGGATGAGACAACTGCAATGAATGCGCGTACCGTAGAGTTGACAGGTTGGACCCACAAATTTGGTAGCTTACTATTTTTGTATAGTATTCTCCAGGAATCTCGGTCAATCATCTGCAATTACTCCACAGCGTATCAGGCTCATTAAATGAGCATTAAATGCTTTCCTTTTTCTTTTCATGGAAAGTCTTCTAGCCGTTAAGGTATTTCACATTAGTTTCACGGCCGTTGGAAATACCTTCGAGTTCTTCTAAGTAGTAAGCAAGTCTGATGAGGTTCTCTTATAGTACTCAGATGGCTAGCTCTGATGGCAGCCCTGGCGTCGAACTCTGATGCTTCTCTGAATAGCAGCTTTGGTAGCAGCTCTGATGAGTGGCTCTGCTAGCAGCTCTGATCAGAAGATATCAAGAGGGTCTCTGGCGAGTCGACTATGCTAATACTTACAAAGAAAAACTAATACAAGATTTCTAAAAGGGGGTACTCTAATATTCGAGTTAACCTAGCATCATCAAAATCTAAAAATATTTATTCCTTACACCTACAAGTGTAATGACAATGAAAAATAGGTGTGGCAGTGTTTCCAATCTACCCTTGCAAAGGTCACAACGATTAACAATATGTAAGTAACCTAGGTTATCCTATGTAGGTAACCGGTTCCTCAAAGCAAGCCAAACGTTGAATGAGAACTTTGGGGGGATATAAGACTTCCAAATGAAGCTCATCCATACTCTTGGCGTCCCTTTAGTTCTCAACAACTCATAAATCTTTCCGGAAAGGAGTTTACCATTAACGGATCTAGTATTTAGGCCCATAATGGTATCATTCAAATTATTAAAGCAACCCAAAATTTGATCCCGGATGTGACTCAATTTCTTCATGAACATCGAGTCACGGTTGTGTGGGATAAAATCCCACACGCTCCTACCATTAAGGTAAACCCCATTGACCCACCTCACCCAAAGGGTGTCCTCTTTCCTATCAACAT